GAAAATCGTTAACACATTGCAAACATTCATCCGAAAAGATCAGCAATAACTTCAACAATTTCACTTTTCAAATTTATTCATAGCTTATTAACAGTTAGTTAACTGTTTCATTGTGAAACTCTAACATTTTACCAGACAATTATTTACACGGATATCACTCAGCGCATAATTGCTGAACAAAGCTTTCAAAAATCAACTTTTTTTTTACTGGTCAAAAACAAATGAACAAATGAACAAATGAACAGATGAACGAACAAACAAACAAACAAACAAAAGTAATGATCAGACTAAAAAGCAAACAAATAAAGTAAAAAAAAAAAAAAAAATATGGCAAATTTTTATTTTCAAATAAAACGATGTTTTTTTTTATCGCAATCACAGCACTATAAACTGCTGAAGAAATGTAATACAGCACAGAAATGGTTTTAAAAGAACTTATACTGTTTAAATTAAGAACTGCTTTGTCGAAGATAATTTATAATATCCATCCGTTGTTGTGGACAATAAAGCAATTTTTGTTGTTGTATATAATGCCGTCAACACTGTTGCAAAAAAAACAACGGACACTGTCTAATTTTTAGGTACTAAAAATAATTATGAATTTTTTTCAATTATGAATTTTTTTTCTTTATTGGCTACCATCAAATAGCAAAGGATTTGATTGTTTATGTAAACTTCTGGTAATTCATACTTTATACAGCTATTTTTGCACAGGAAAGGACCATAAATTTAGCAGTTTGAAGACAACAGAAAATTGTTTGGCGGATCTAATTGGTATTCTCAACAGCCTTCTTAATATGCATTCAAAAGCACTCAGTTATTTGTTTTTCTTTTTTTTTTTCTTGTATTTGATATACCTCTTAACAAAAATGGAATTGTATCTAAATATAAATGCTAATTGAACCCACACTTCTTGACCAGATATAAATCAAATCATCGGATCATAGATTCATCACTTCGTTGGTCGTATCTCCTCCTATGAAGCAGTTGTTTATCGTCAGTTTTACGCTTGCATCTACTGTGATTTTATCTTCTGCACAAAAACAACTAACTGGTATATCAGTTAATCTTATTTATATATTTTTATTTTTTTTAAAAAAAAAGTTGTTAATATTTTTGTCAATTTTTTTTTTTGAATTTTAATTACTATATTTGTTTGTTCCTTTTTCTATCTTTGTTAGTTTTCCATCAAATTTTTTTCTTTTTGCTTTATTACACAGTTTTGCAATTTTAGTTTTTTTTTTTCTGTTTAATATTTATTTAGACAGATATAAAGACTTTTTGCTATTATTTTTGCTGTTGTTGATAAAAAAAAAAAAAAGAACTTGAGTGTAAAATAACAGAAAAGAATGGAAGAAATAATAAAAAAACAACAACAACGATATCAAAAACTCAGCAATAAAATCAGTTCTTAATTTGACAGTAATTTGATTAAGACTGTTTAAAACCATGGCAAAAACCAGTATTGTCTGTGGCAACAATCAGTGAACCGGCAGCTCCGTTACGATGTCACCCAGAAACGGATCCATGCCCACAGAATGGTGCTGCAACTGAATGTCAATTTTCATTCCGAAGTTTTATGTATGTCTGTTGCGAAGATCGAGAAGATGTTCGAGCTCCAGGTTAGTTTATCACTATTTAGTAGTTACAAAAGTAAAACTTGTATATTTATTAGAAAAAAAAAAAAGAAACGATAAGAAAAAATAACTATTGAAAATATGTTTGTAAAAAAATGTCTTACTGCTTAGAGCTAGCAGTTATAATATTTGCACATGTTATTAATTTCTAATTTAAGTATGCCCTAAATATCATGATACACTGAACACATTCTGTGGTGGAAGTCGTTCAGTATGCCCAAAAGGGTACAAATGTATGCGATCCAGATATGATCCAAAAGTGGAACTTTGCTGTCGTCCAAATCCACGTAAAATACATCCAGAACCAGAAACTTGTGAGTATTGAAAATTGGTTGGCCAAATTTACATATTGACAATGATTGATAAAGCATCACATTTCAACAATTGTATAAACTACCGTTAAGATAATTATTTAGCGACTTCAATAATGCTAAGAAGACACAGATTGATAAAAAATTTGACTTCAGCTTTCGTTGATCACTCAGTGACACCGATGATTCTTCCAAAAGCACCAAAGAAAATCTTATCGGTATTGATTTAATATTAATATTTCTCACTTTTTCCTTCACTTTTTTTATTTTATAAACACTTCAGAAAATTTTTTTTTTCAAAATTATTTGTTTCTTCTGACTTATTTTTTTTT